AGGTTTGGGTTGGGTGGACTCACCAGGAGAGGTTTGGGTTAGATGGACCCACCAGGGAGGGTTTGGGTCGGGTGGACTCACCAGGAAGGCACAGAGCATGTAGAAGCTGATGAAATAGAAGACGGCGAAGCTGCTGCCGCAGGAGTGATCGGCCTCCGTGGAGTTGGCTGGCTCCGACTCCGGGTCACACTTCTTGTCAGGGAGACATGCCAGCATGATTTCCTGCCAGGCCTCACCTGTGGCACACCTGGGCAAGGCAAAGGGCAGGGGAAGACAGCAGTGACCTTGGATATGACAGGGACTGGCACATTAGCGACCTGTTCCTGATCCCATGAACATTACTGGGAATTTTGCTGCTGAGGTCAATTAAGAGCAAGTTAGGCCGATGACTTTGACATCCCCTGGCATATCCTGCTCCTCTGTTTGGTTTTGTTGCCATCATCAGTGTACCATTTCTGACTGGCTGTGGCTGCTGTGGGTATGGGGCTCTCATGTTCCAACCAGAATCGTGGATGTGTGTGTGGCATGGCTGAGGATTGCACCTAAAAAAGCCCTTCAAAATTACCACAGTGTTGAATTTATGCCAACTTCCTACCCCTTCAGCACCCCTCCCTGGCTCCAGCTCTGGAGTAGGATGATGTACTAAACTGAGCTGGCATGACCATGCCTAAGCACAAATTCATCACGTCCCTTTCCCTGCTAGAGGTCACACTGGCCAGATTTGAACCAAAGAAGTTTTTGATGCATATCAATTTTGGAGAGCACTGAAAACTGGCTACCTTCCTTCCGTGTAGGAGGATTTGTCTCCCTCCCCAGCACTGAGCATTACCAGGGTGAGCTGCTGGGGTGCAAGAGACTTAATGGACTGGTCATTCCATCTGACACAATTGCCAGGCTCCCCCGCTGAAGGACAACATGTTACTGCTCACCTCGGGAACATGACACGGGAGAAGGAGATAAAGGCATGCCCGAGAGCAGAGGAATCGTGCTCCCAGACTGACAGAATCCAGAGCTGTCATACACCCACCTGAAAAGCAGCAGCACTGCCTGGGGGAAGGTCTGGAAGTTGTTGTTGCGGTTGATTTCCGTGGTGTCGTTCAGCGCAATTTTACCAAACACCTGGCAGAAAGCAGAGGTCTTTTCAGATTAGCCCTGCAAAATCCCCAAACCTCTTGTCACCCGTGGCTCTTGGCCTCACCCTGACTCTGATACTTAATGGAATCTGCTCTTCTATTAAAATAAACTTTTCTGTACATGTTGTTGCTTTCCTGGCTTCTGTTTTATCACCAGAAAAGCACTAATTTTGTAATAAGAAGCATCTTGTGTCAAAACAAGGTGTCCTTCCT